GGTAGGAGGGATAAAGGGATGCCGCACTTTCGCGACGGGAGACGTTTTTTGCGATCAAAATACAAGGCAAATACGGATGGAAAAGTTTTTTTGTCGTATTGACTTTCACTCGCAAAATGTTTGCCTGAAATATTTTCTCAGTGGTTTCGAGTTTCGATCTAAATGTTTTTTTATTGAATTTGTTTTCTTTTGGTATAACGCAGTGTCCATTCCTCTGATGTTTGCAGGATGTTATTTTTACAGTTCTTGTTGGTCTAGCGGAATGGTTAGAGTTAGTGAAAGAAAGCTGGGATTGTTGTGTTGCAGTGTTTAGTATATCTATGTGTTAATATATGCATCATACTAATTCTCTTGTTAGCTGGAGTTGAGCGTTGCGGCCGGCGCGTGCGTGCTCTAATGTTATAAATAAAGACAAGTAGCGAGCAGCGCGCCGCCATATTACGTGCAGCGCTGATGGTTTTTGCTTGAAGTTATGCTTTGTTAACTACATGCGCCTAATACTTAGAGATAATTTTAAAATTATCTCTTGTTTTTCGGTGGCTACGAATCGTATTATAGTTCCGTTATTCTGTACGGAAGAGGCAGATCCTAGAACAAATGTAATAACAGCAGAATTAATTATATATAACGTGTTACATTTTCTTATTTTATATCGAATCTCGTATATTATTTCTCGATTACTCGATTCACTCGATGTTAGATATATGTCATCTGATTATGTAAACAAAAAGATATGATTTAAATAAGAACCTAATCTAAAACAATGAAAACGAAATAATAAGCGCATATACACATTTTACATTCATATCTAGATGTCGTTGTATGGTCGTTTACTACACCCCTGAGTGTGGCGGTGCGCGGGCCCCGGCGAGGCGGGGCGGGGGCGCAGGGCGCGCACGTGTGGGGGCCGGGGGGCTGGGGTCGGTGCGGGAGCAACCCTTTCCTCGGAGGGTAGCGGTCATCCATCACTGACGACGAGCGAAATGTATTTTAATCCACTGGCCCGCGCGCGGCGCTTCATCAAACGTGAAAAATGATCCCGTAGCGCCGCACACACACAAGCGCGCGTACGTACTGCACGCACGTACACACACGCCGTCACGCCGCCTCGTAGCGTTGTAGCTTCGTAGCGAACAAATCGGGCCTCGTATGCTTAGCGATGAGCGGAGGTGGCCCCGCTTGTTGATCTGCTGGCCGTAGCGGCATATCGGCTTGATTTTGTCTCTTACAGCCTCAGTCTGTCTGTCTGTCTGACTATATGTCTGTATTAGCACAAAGTATAGCCATTTTTGTTTGTTGTAAGGAAAATGATTATTTTCGCCTGAAATGATAACGAGTATGGTAAATTAAAAAAAGATGTCGATTAACTGTGTGAAATTTATAAGCTGCATATCATGAGCATAGCATAAGCTTTGTAATCAGTTTTTAAGCGGTTACTGCGAGGCTGTGGCGCGGCGTGTGCCCCCCCCCGCCCCGCCCGCCGCGTCCCGCCCCGCGCACATCAATCATACACAAATTGGTGCGCCGGGACGCGGCCGCGATATGTAAGCTCCAATTGAGTCAGTCATCGCTGCCTTACACCGGCTCCTCCGGGACCAGAGACTTGATGACGGGCCTATGACTGATGATCTGACGCTTCGCTTCACCGACATTCTCCGCTACACGTTTTGACTTTAATATTTACAAGCGACTTTTTCCTTTCAGATAGGGAAGCTGCCTAGTTCTTACATACCCCGGTAAGAAAACCATAAACTTTACGATGTTACATGTTTCATGTCTCAATAGCCGGCGCCCTAATAATAATATTCAACGTTTTATTCGGTCGTATTCGGAGATATCTCTCCCGGATTACTAAAACATCTGTCCCGGAAAATTCACTCTCGAGCCGTTTATCGCGTCCTCGAGGGTAGATGGAGAAAAAACTGCAATAACGCGGTGTCATAACAGAGACGCCGCCACCGGCCGATAATACTATGATTAATACCCGGCGTTATCTCGAGAGTGCAGCCTCGCCGGCCGCGCGCCCGTCGCCCCCTGAACCCCCCGGGCAACCCCGTACCTCCCGCACCGGGCCCCACGACACCCGCCGGCACAGGAAATGGAACTTTGCCGCAGAAAGAAGAAGGTCGAAATCTGAGAGAGTAGTGAAAATTTTTAAGGTATTCTCCTGACCCAACATAAGAGTTACGGATTTCGCATAATGCATATTATATTGTGGCGAGGGTGGCAGGAGGGAGCCGGAGGGCGGGGGAGGGCGGCGGGGCCGCACGTCTTTTGCACGCGACAAGCTCTCGACATTTTTTTTATTATTATTGCGCTTCGATGGAATTTATTCGAGAGAGGGTCGGTAATAGAATAGTGGCCACGCTCGTTTGGCCCCAGCGGCGATTTTGAATATGATTTTTAAATCACATAATGGAGTGTGTGAGCCTTTTTTACAGTTATTTTAAGGGGCGGCTCCGGTTTAAGGGGAGGAGTATAAATTTTTGAAGACGTCATTCCGTAGGTCGGGAAAGGGTGATCAGTTTATGGGTAGGTAAATGGTACGCGGGATCGAGGCCGAGGCGGGGTGCTGCCGAGGCGGGGAACATGAAATTAATATTATCCAACAGCGGCAGGTGCAGCGACGGCGCAATTAGCTCATGTTATGTGTAAGATCGGTGGAGGCTGCCCCCGACCCCCGACCCCCG